AGAGGGGTGACTTTCAGCAGGAACCTCAGGGAACCTCCTCTGGGCAGCACAGATTGCGGGTGAGGAGTTTTTTGTCTGGCCTAAGCCACTTCTGAGGCCGTTTAAGCCAAGGTGACTGAATTCGCATCGCAGCAGAGAAAGAGCGCTCCTGAGATTTGCTTTAATGTCTCAGCCAGCAGGGTGGTAACTCTAACAGATGAAGGAGCACACAGCCAGAGATACATGAAATCAGCACAGACATTTCTGCAGGAACTATCTGAAATTGGCCTTAGTAGGGCTGCCCTTAGTCCAGCCCCTGTTAGTTGTGTCAGGCTATAATCCTTGCTGCCTTGTAGTCCCTTTGCATATGTCTGAGACATGGAATGAGTACAGCAGTATTATTTTATATGACTTTGTTTCAGTATTATTCCAGTATGCGTGTTCTGGTATTGTTTTCAAAATAACCTATAAAGAACTTAATGTTGTATGTTGACATCCATCTAGTATAGTTATTAGTTTTGTTTTATGTTCAATAGTCTTAAATTGTGGGTGAATTATGCAATATACCTTAGTAAGTAGCGTCTGCTTACTCAGCCACCCTGCTTGTCTTTGTTTTTGTTAGTTTTGCTTACATTAGTCACAATGATTTTTATTTGTTTCAATTATGTGGTGAGAATAAGGAATCAGAACTGATAGTTTCTGCTTTTTGACTGTCATAATTAGATTTTAAAATGTTTTGATGCTGGAAAGAATTGCCAGGACCTACGTTTTGTGTTGAATGAGAAAAATAACCCATGTAGCTTTATTTTTCCTTGTACCGCACAGGATAATCTGTTTTGTAGCTCCAAGTAGGACAGCAGGCAGTTCACAACAGCAGAGATTTGGAGGTGGTTGGTTTAGGGAGACGGGGTGGAAGTGTCCAGTTTGTTGGTTATCCTGTGCGTTGCACCTGCCACATCAACAGAGGGCAGTTTCATCTAGAATATTGTATGCTCTTTTGTCTGCTTTAGCTGTCAAGATATGAAGTGCAAAGAAACAAGCTTTCTACTGGAGCTGTACTCGGTCACGGGGGGTTAAAACGGAGCCCATATGTGTTGTCCTCCCTGAAGTCCTGCAAGCAGTCCTGCAGCGGTCACTCAGGTAAGCTGCCTCCTCCTCAGCGCCCTTCCACGTCAGGCTGAGCTTCGGGTCCACAACGTCCCTACTGCAGCATCTGCTCTAGCTTTTGAATTTCAAAGGCAGTCTCGTGGACACGAGTCGCTGGCAGAAATTAAAACATGACAATTAGGTGAGGTGCCTGCCATCTTTTGAGGTGCCACTGTGGGGTGGTGGTGGCGATCTGCAGCCTGGCCAGCTAAGTTGCTGTTAGCTGTGTCAGCAGCCCTGCGTGTCATGCAAAAGAGCACGGGATCCGGTTCCTTCCTCCATTATTTGTACTTCTGGATGTTTGCTGGGTGCACAAGAAGCTGTGTTTTTCTGCTTGGAGTCACTTCGGGCAGTTCCGCCTGCCTGACACGGGAGAGCCGAAGGAGGTTTCTGCGTGGTGACTGAACACTGCTGCCTTCTGGTAGCACGGAGGCTTTTGTCTGCCCAGCAGCTGCACCTTGCAAGCCTCCCTCCTGGAAATCCGGCTGCCTAGTCCCAAATCAAACATTGTGCTGGCACCTTCTGGCTTAGGTCGGCGTGCTGGCAGCGCACAGATTGGACGTAGCTGCCTGTGTTTGGAGGAGGCAGTACTTTCTCCACGGCATTGCCCCAGAGAGGTATGCTGGCACAGCAAGCTGGGCCACTGAACACGGTGGTTTTCACTTCTATTTCTGTATATATCTGTATTTTTTTCCTGGCTGGATGCAATAATTAGTGCCATTTCAGAGAGGCAGCCGTTCTGTTAGACCAAAGCAGGAGTCTGGCCTAAGTGGAACCAAGAGGAATCGCTATTTTTGCACTGCAATTAAAAATATTTCCGTGCTTTGATACAAATAACAACTGTTCAAAACGTATTATTTTAATACTAGGGAGGCTCTTTGGTAGCAGCACTTCCTTGTTCTTATCAAAGAGATACCTGTCTTGTCAAAAGATAAACTAGGTGGTGGGAGATGATAAAATAACAGTCGCTGGGGATACCTCCACGTGGTTGCAAGGTAATCTTTGCCATGGAGTAGTGTGTGAGAACAACGCAGAGGATGCCATCAGAAGCTGAAAGGATGACCTGTGAGTTTGCTCTCAAGACATGCATTTGCTTTGCTAGTTCCTGAAAGCTTCTTTATGATAAGGCTAATTACGGACAGCCTAAGAACACTACAGCTCCAAAAGAAGGAAAAGCAAGTGCAAAGTAAGCAATGTGCCAAAGTGATCTGTCTCCAAACCTCTAGTTGGAAGGGAGGATTTTCAGGGATTTTCATTTCTTCAAGGCTGTATTTGTTAGCTTACAGAGCAGTCGGTCAGCTAGTCGAACCCGCAAGTGGACTTTTGGATGCGGCAGCTTCTGGAAGGGAGCCGCGACGGGAGCAGGAGTCCCTCTGATGTCAGCCGTGGCAAAATGCTCTGGCAGTGTGAGCCCTCTGTCAGCCGTCCTGTGCTGCCCAACATTCTGTTTTAAGGAGCTGAAACAAGAACGTCGTTTGTGGTGGTGCCTGGATACTGTGCCAATAACTGCTGTATGTGCGCTCTGAATGACGTTAGGTAAAATGCAATTTAAAAGCAAGGTTTGCACTCCAACAGAAAAACCCTGGCTCTTCGTGTACAGAGCTCTGTTTAACTGTTGGTCTAGGGCTGGTATGTAGAGCGACTGGTTAAATCATGCGACTAGTTAAATCGTGAAGTTTATTCACAGCTCTGTCCTCATGAAAGGAGCGGGCTGTGTGTGTACCTGGAACTCAGCTTGCACACCGCTGCGGCAGGCCATGCAGGTGGGTCGAGCAGCTGAAGCAGGCGGTGCTGAGGTACGTGCTGGTTAACATCCATTCCACTAAGAATCAGCCTTTTCTACAATTCATGTCATCTCTCAGACCTGTGGACAAAAATACACATTTTGTCTTGCCGACTGACCTAAGCCCTGCTGCTTTCCCACTCCCTGAGGGCTGCTTGTGTGTAGTTTTCCCTTCCCTGTTTTCTCTCATAGCATTTGCCACCTCCTGTCATTTAAGGAAAAAACACTTTGCACATGACTGCAACTCAGTTACGCTCGGAGAAGCGATGTCAGTCCATGTTTCTGCTAATGTGCTAGGCATGGAAAAGCAGCGTGCTCAGCAGGAACGCACGCAGACCCATCGAAGGCGTGCTGTGGGTTGGATTTGCTTGCCCAGAAGGAAAATGTTGGAATCTGCCATGACTTAAATATGAGCAGACAGAGAGCGACACCAAGCACTCCTGGAAGTGTTTTTAGCATCGGTGCTTCGTGATTTTAGCTTGGAGGGAAGCAGGATGTCTTTAAGGACTGTTCAGCAGTGGGAGATGGCAGCAGTAACTGCCCCAAGGAGTTTTTAATCTGCACATGTGAATGTAGAGGCAGAGGTGCCTGCAGGCAAGCCACAGGGCTCAGCTGGTTACTGAATTAGCAAGTCTTCAGCAAGTTTGCAACAAATCACATACTTCAGATTTTGCCCTGGCCCGCAAGGTGAGGGAATCTGGCTGAGCCTGTTCCCTGGCAGGTGTAAAACTGGCCTCTGAAGGCAAACGGGGAGAGTTTCGGAAACATCCCAGGAATGGGAGATCTCTGAGGGAGGAACCTGCTGCTTTCCCCCATCAGGCTTCGTCCTCCTGCGAGAAGTCTCCTCTCCTCTTTGGACTCCTGCTTTCCTCTTCTGCCACTCCATCCCTGCTGTTTCTGTCCAAGAATACGGCTGGTTCATGCTTTATCTCTGTGGAAAATCAGAGCGGGCCAGCTGCATTGAACAGGTGTCCTGTACGGATACTTCAGTGAATGGTAGAAGGGCCCTGGCTTACTCTAGCTTATTTCATTTTGGAAGCAAATTAAGTCAATGACAAGTGTTCAAATGCTAAGGAAGGGCACCTAGCTTTAAAATTAATCCCATTTCCAGAAAGACCACCCCAGATCATGCCTTTAATCCATCCAGAGCATCGTCCCCACAGGACACGGCATTTTTGGCAGCCCCGAATGAGGAAGCTGGGAGGTGAGCGAGGGCTGCGAGCAGGTGGCGGCTGCTCCAGGGTGGAACAGGAACCCCATTTCCCTTCGGGGGGCACCGAGGAGCCCCATTTCCCTTCGGGGGGGGCACCGAGCCCCTTGGCATTTATCAATCTCTTTAACTATCCCTTTGCTTCCTCAGCCTCCTGACGATCCGGGGTTCGGGAGAAGCCTGCAAAAAAACCCTGCACGGCTCAGCCCCGCTGCCTGCCGTCGTCTGGGGGGCCGGATTGTGGCAGCCCCTCGCTGCCGAAGCGGTAGGGGAGCGCTCCCCGACCTGCCCGGCCGCGCAGGAGGGCCCCGGGCACACGTGGCAGCGCCGGGACGGCCCCCAGCGGGGAGGCGCCGCCGGGCAGCGCCGGGCCGGGGGCAGCGGAGCGGCACCGCCAGTGAGTGGGGGACGGGGAAAAAAAGGGGGGGGGGGACAGAAAGGGTAAAAAAGTCGTCGTAAAGGGTCCACAAAGAGACAGAGAAGGCAGAAAAGGCGAAAGAAGGAAGGGAAAGGAGAAAGGAAAAAACAGGGCAAAGAAGGCAAGAGGGCAAAAAAAAAGGGGGGGGGGGGCAAAAGAAGGCAAAATGGAGTTAAAAAGGGCAAAAGGGAAAAAAGGAGCTAAAAAGCAAAAAAAAAAAAAAGAAAAGGGCAAAAGAAGAAGAAGGAAAAAAGCTAAAGCAGAAAAAAAAAGGCAAAAAAGAGGGGCAAAATAAAAGGGCAAAAGAAGGCAAAAAAAATAAAGCAGAAAAAAAAAAGCAAAAAGAGGGCAAAATAAAAGGGCAAAAGAAGGCAAAAAAAAAAAGAGCAAAAAGAAAAAGGCAAAAAAGAGGGGCAAAGAGGAAAAGAAGGGCACTGAGGAAAAGGGAGGGAGGAAGAAGAAAAAGTGAGAGGGGGAGGAAGGCAGAGCCGGCCAGGTGAGAGGTTCTGGCCGGGCTGGTGGCTTCTGGTGGCTCGGTGCCCGGCACCACCACTGCGGGGTTGTGGCAGGGACATGCTGGCACCCCTGGCACTGCTGGCACCCGAGGCACTTCTGGCACTGCCGTCACCGCTGGCACTGCCACCGCCTCGGTGCAACCCCAGTGTGCTGACCGTGCCACAGAGGTAGCACTGCTCTGGTGAGCCCAGGCTTGCTTTTTGCCTCTCACGTTCCACATGTTATTTGTGCTGAATATATGTGGAAAAAATAAAAGAGCTGGGTAATTGTTGTGGCTGTTACGGTAAATGAGTAACAGGGAGGGCGAGGGCAGGGCGAGCACTGCTATGTGTGCTGTTACATTCGTGGTGCTGGCAGCTGCTTCGTTTCCCTTTAATCCATCCCTTCCTCAGGGTCCCCTAAATCAGGTGGTTTTAAGAATCTGACCAGGAGAGGAGTGGAGGGGATTTAAGAAACCTGAAGTGCTGCCTGGTCCTTTAGCGGAGCGAGGCCTTGGAAGTGCCTCCTCTGGCAGCAACAGAGCAGGACCACACGCAGTCATGTTTGTAAAACCAGCCCTCTGTTGGAGAGCTCGCAGCTCTGAGACGCCTTTAATGGGACTATTAATAAAACATCGCTGCTTTGATAAGGTGCGAAGGCCACAGAAAATTCATCTGCAGGAATATGCTTTTGTAATTAAGCAGGGAAGTGTCTCGGTAAAAGGAGACGAGGCTTTTCACCGCCCCGCAAGGGGGTTTCTAATGTGCTAGCTTGAAATGTGTTGGAAAGATTAAAACAAGCATTCTCCCTTAATTTATAGACTGGTTAGTGTCTTTGGCAGAAACCTGAGGAAAAGTAGTATCAATTAACTTTGGGATTAGATGCTCGCTTATATGAGAGGAAAATGACGGCCGTTTGGTGGTTTTGGCAGACTCGCCTGTATAGCTCAACACGGAGCTTCCGCCCAGTCAGCGACGCAGATAGATAATACTGCCACAAAATACGTGTGTTTTGCAGTCACTTAGAAACCATGGTGTGCTCATGGTGAGAGGAAGGCTCCTGCCTGGAGGATTCCCATTTCCAAAGCCTGAGTTTCCACGGACGTGCGCCCGGCATCGCGTGCCGGGTCCTGGCGCGCTCCTTCAGCGATGTTTGCTTCGGTTACCTTTAGTCTAAATGGATGTGTACATCTGTGCGTGTAAACAGTCGCCGAATTAAATAATAGGCGAGGGGAAGGTATTAGGAGGCTTGAAACGCTACTGAGGAGCAATGCTGGAGAGGCAATTTCCTGTAATTGCGGAGGAGAAAGTGCTTGTGGCAACGCCTCTGGGAGCGCGTCGAAGCGGAAAGAGCACCGGGAGCCGTGCGCGGGGCGAGGGAGCGGAATAGGAGAGAGCTTGTAACACTGAGGAAAAGGAAGGAAACCCTCAGATGTGGGGCTTTAAATATCTAAGAGGGTAATGTTTCCTACAAGGTCAGCTCCAGGGATGAAACCCATGGATCTCCTCTCTGCGTCGCTCAAATTTTGGCCCCGTAATACCGGTGCATCCAACTTCCCTGTGCTGTCGTACACAGGATGTGCTTCCAGCTGTCCCTACCTGCTGCAAAGGGCTGGGGCCAGCCACTTGTGGGCTCCCTTAGGGGAATGTATCAAGAGACCAAGATCAAGAGAAGGCTGCCTGTAGCCTTCCTCACCTCCATGCATACAGCTGGAACTGCTGCAAAAGACAGGAGCTTGTGTGACCACAGGGAATCCTTTACTGAATAAAATTGCTGGCTTGGAAGGGCTGCACTGGGGAATCTTAGGAGAATGTGTCTATTCAGTTGTAATTGTGGTTTATGTTGCGTGTTTTTTTCCTCAGAAAAAAAACAGAAACACCTCCCATGCAGCCCATTGTGCCCGGTTCTGCAGGAGACTTGCGGCCACCTGAAGGAGCAGTGGTGGTTATTGATTTCACAGGGTCATGGAGGCAGGGTGGTGAAAGCTCTGATAAAAGCTGGGATTCACACCCTGCTGCCAAAATCCTGACGGACCTAAAGTGATTTTCACTCTGATTCTCTGTGTCTCTGTCCCTGTGAAACAGGAGCAGCACATTTCTGTCGTTTGCCTTGTCTCGTTAGCTCGTGAGTGTGACAAGTCAGAGATTTCTGCACTGTGCCTGTGGTAAAGCGGGTAAATTGGTGTGGGTGATCATGTTTGGTTCTTGTAAACCTGTGAACTCAGCTGGCCAGGAGCTGAATCAGCCCTGGGAGAGTGGAGGAGGCAGGTGGGCTATGCTCCCCAGGTGCTGTGTAGCTGTGCTGAGAAGTGGCAACTGGGGGGATGTGGCCACTGCAGGGCCACGTGGGGAAGGTTAAGGCTTGTGGCCAGCTGGAGGGAGGGGTATAAAAGCAGCTCTCTGTACTTAGGAGCATAGAAAACAGACTGACAAAGAGAGGAATGTCAAGGTAGAGAAGTGCTTATGCTAGCTTTTCCCCTTCTGTTAAGCAGTGTTAAGTTATCCTTGAGAGGAAACCTGCTGCTACCCTTTTGGGAACACAGAAGGTGTTGAATTAAGGCTGGCCCTCTGGTGGAGCCTGCCTCTGGCAGTTATTGAAGCCAGGCCACTGCAGACAAGAAGAGTGTACCTGCAGGGGTGGGTATGACCACGGTTAAGGCAGTGTAATCATTAGTGGTGCTGGGAAGTAAATACTTCATGTGTCTTGTGCCATAAGAGTGCAGGAGCGTGGAATAAAATTATCAGGTGCCAGAATTAAAAGCAGTGAAAGGAAATACTTTTCCCAGGCAGTGCATAATGAAAGCTCTGGAGCTTGTGCTGCAGGATGCTGAGGGTGCCAGGAGTATGAGCAGGCTCAGCAAAGCCCGTCAAGGGCCATTAAGTGTCAGGCTGCTGATACTGCCCCTGCCATGGGTGGGAGTGTCGCTGAGGGAGCGCTGCTCTCTGCTGTGCTGTTCAGTGTCGGCTGCCAGCCTCTGTTGGCTCTGGCCTTGTGCCTCTGCAGGCTCAGAAAGCAGCACTGGTGTCTTCTGTCTTTCTTTCTTCCAAAGCAAGTGCAACAAAACCATGATTCTCCCACCACGGGGGACCCAGCGCTGCAGGGGTCTGAGGGAGGAGAAGAGCTGACCTGCTCGGGTCGGCCCTGCCCGCCGTGAGGGCCGCAGCCGCGCCTGGGGCAGGCAGAGGAGACACGAGGGGTGCCATGTCCGGCCTGCGAGCTGCCAGAAGCGAGGGCTACGTGCAGGAGCTGTTCCACGAGGAGGCACAGCAGGTATGTCGGAGAGCCGTCTCCCTGCACAGCCCGGGTTTCTGTCTCTGGTGGTCTGCTCCTGTTGCCCTCTGTGGCAGGTTAACAGGACTGAACAGAGCTGCCCCCCATTCTGCTACCTAAACCTGAGGTGCTCCCTTTAGGAAGTCCAGCTTTTCACAAGCAAAGAGCAGCAGCAGGTTTTGGTCCGTAGAAAGGGTGTGAAATAATGTCCTGCCCAGGCAGCAGGGGCAGGATGAGGGCAGCTGCAATGGGAAAAGCTGCAGTTCCCTAGAGCTTTAGCTCTTGGCTCCAGCAGCTCTTAAATGTACAGGTGCCCTGAGTACCAGAGTCCTGTGTCTCCTCTCAAAATGCAGTGTCCTCATCCCCAGCTCTTTTGGAGATGTCTCTGTGTGATGGGGAAGTCATCTTAACCTACTCTTCCAGTCCCACTCTGTCCAGCCTGCTTTGTCATCTCCTCTGAGAGACTTCTCCAGTGCAGAGAGGACCCTGCTCATCTTGGTGGGGACAGAAAGAGAGGCATGACGTAAGACATGGCAATAAATAGCTGCAGTCTCTGTAAAGAACCCCTCAAGTGACATTTTTCGTTCATGTAACATCATGGACCAGGTTAATTTGCTGAGGCTGAGTAGGATTCTGTTGCTGCTTATCCTAGAATAATATACATTCAGTGTTGCAGGGAGCCCTCTCTTCTATGGATCCCAACAACTGCAGCCCCTTAATTTTGGACAACTCACAGCAAAGTCATGTCTTGGCACCTGTTGGTGGCCACCCCTGTTTCAGTAATGCTGGTCGGCTGTTGCACCACTTCTGCAGCCTGCCCATAGAGCATGAGAGGTAAAACTGAAGGCTTTGCTTTCCTCTAGGTGTCTCAAACGCAGACCAGGCCCTGGTGGAAGATTCAGCTGTTTGTGTGGGAGCCGGTGCTTTTTGGAACATGGGACGGCGTCTTCACCTCCTGCATGATCAACATTTTTGGAGTGGTTCTTTTCCTGAGGACGGGATGGCTTGTGGTGAGTGCTGATTTGCTTGAATGTGTGACTAGGTAACCTCCTCCTCGCCACTTGTCTCCATCACCACCCTTTCTAGTTCTGTAATGCTTGTAGGCACTTTCTTGGTTCAGTCCTCTGGTTATTGCTTAGCTTTTCAGGAGGTTCTACTAAAATCGGAAGCTTAAGTGGTTTCTTCAGGCATTCCTATTTTAGCTTTCAGAAAAGAAAAAACAGCACATCAACCAACCTGGAAAATAAACAGGAACAGCCTTGTCTTGCACTGTTGAGGCAAAATAACCACTTTACCTGAAAAATGTAGTTAGAGCTACTCTGCTGTCTTCCCAGTGCCACCAAAGGAGGTTTCTTCCAAACACATCTGTATTGTTTGGAGTCCCCATTGTGTCTGAAATGGAGAGTCCTCAGTCAGGTGAAATTGTCATCCCTGCCAAAGGGACTTGCACTTGGGGATCCAGAGCAGTATCTCACTCAGGGTCAGTGCCCGTCTCTGCTCTCTTGCAGTGCGATGCAGGACTCTTCCTGATACAATATGTTGTACTGTCCCTTAAAACTTCCCCTCAATAAAAGGCAAGTATCTCTAGGGAATGGTGGAATCTGAGCTTCAGGCAGAATTTGCGTCACAGGGACAAGTTCATGTCACAGGCACGGTGGCCATCTTCCAAAAGGAGCAGGAAGCAACTTGCACTCTATATTGGAAATTGCTTCACTGAGGGCCAGAAAACCAGAGGGAATATCGGGATCCACACTGAAGGAAGAGCCGTAGAAACTCTGTAGGACAACTGAGATGAAATAGGGCTGCTCCCTCGTTGATGGCAGGGTGCAAATTGCATCCCACGAGTCCCCACGAGTGGGTACAGATCAGTGTGCGGAGTGCTACCACGATGTAGTGCTTGCTTTGCCTTTGCTAGCAGAAGCATGGCTTGCAAGTTTTGAGGAGAACCGCGGTCTGTTCTGGTGAAGAAGTCAGGATGATTTTCCTAGCTCCCTCTTCCTCTTGATCTGATTTCCTCCATGTCTCCTCTGAAAGCGAGTTAACTGCTGGAACAAGCACAAATAAAAATAAAGTAAGTAAATAAAAGAAAAAATGTAACAGCTGGAAGCTAGCATGACGGGGAAGGGAGGAGAAGTCAGGGCTGGCAGAGTTCACGTGGCAGAGCACGGTCAGATGTTGATCCATGCGCAGTCAGGCTTTTGCTATGAATTTCCAGAGGTAAAGGTTGCTATTGCAGGGGACTCTAACCTTACAGGCATGTTCAGCACTCACTGCCTTGCTACACTACCCTATCATGCTCCATCTTAACACCTTCCAGCGTGCATGCATAAATAAGTGTTGCTGTTTAATTTGGACTTTTTTTCCCCTACTTTCTCGGCTTGCTATTGTTGCCACAAGACAACTCCGTCCTTCCTCCCTGCTGGTGATCTGCAAGGAAGAGTTACAGCACTCCTGGTCCTGGTGTTAACCCATTCTTCTGCAGCAACCACTAGCATTAACTAGCTGCCACGTAGCCTGGTGCCTCCAGCAGGGTTCTGGGAAAGCCCAAGGCCACGTGTATGTTTGCATGAGTGCTTTTTTTTTTTTTTTTTAACTGAAGCGTGTCTTATTTATTAACCATTTTAACCTGAGGGTAAGCGGGCAAGCTGCGGAAGAAAAAGAACAATTGTTCTTTTAAAAAGGAGTGTCAGATCCTAGTGGACTGTGGTGCTGACCCAGCCAGCAGCTGCATTTATGACAAACCTTGGCTCCGTTCCCTACTGACCAGATAAAGCCCTGTCAAAGGCAGCGGGACACTGAACCAAAATAGGATTTTATGATGATAGCAACATCCTGGATATGTTTCTGTTGTTTCACAAAAAGCAGAAAAGAGGAAAGGAAGGGAAAAAAAAAAAAGGATCTGGGATTTCAACCAACCCCAAAGCTGAGAAGCAGCCTTTTAGTGCTGGTAATAAACAAACCCGTATCAAGGCTAGCGTGACCTCAGAAACTGCTGGAGTGGGAGGAGAGGGAGCGAGGTTGGAAAGGAGCGATGGGGACACGGCCTGTAATACGAGTCAAGGCAGAGGAGAGGAAGCCAGACGTTAACGAAGCGCTGGGCACTGGAAGAGATTTCTGACAATGAGTTGGAGTCAACCGTGCACTGGACTAAGCGATTTGCCAGGAGGGAAGGTGGGCTGGAGGCACGAAGAAAAACTTTTGACCCTGGAAAATAAATTACAGCCATGTGAGAGAGAGGAGCGGAGGGTCCTGAGCGCAGAAGAGGCGCTTGAATGCTTTTGGAGGCACCCAGCACCTTCTCTTTGGTCCTGCAGAAGGCAGCCTTCCCCTCTACTTGGAAAATCCATAGATAGCAAACTGAGTGCCCCGAAGCAGGGGTTTGTGCTGGCCTCTGTGAGACCCACACCTGGCATTGCTCAGAGGCTTTTGCTCCTCGTCCTGCAGCAGCTCCTCCCTGGCGCTTCCTCTGCCTGGAGCAGGAAGGAAATTTTTGTCAGCAGGGCGAAATCCTCCACACAAAACTACGTGCGAGTAAATTGAGAGCGAGAACCACCTGCTACTTTGCATATATTGTGCAGATAAGGCCCAGCGTGAGGCAGTTTATGACTGTATTATTTATCTTCCACGCAGTGTTTCCTTTGGGGTTTTGTTCTTTGTTATCTCATCGTTTGGGAGGATTAGAGCTTTCAAAGGTAAATGTTCTGATAAATTAAAATGCTGGCTTGATGCTTTTAATAAATCAGTTGTCACAGATCCCAAATGTTCAGTTTTGAAACTGTTTTTGTTTTTTTTTTTTTTCTGAAAGCTTTTTTTAAAAAAACGAAACAAAACATTTCATTCTAAAACATGATGAAACATGGCAATAGGCAGTGACCTCCCTGTGGTCATTGAGTCATTGTTTGACATCATTCTCTCTGAACCAGAGGACAAAATCAGTGATTCATGCAGGAGCCCAGTGATGGAGCAGGACCTTATCATGCAAAGGTCTGTCTGGCCACACAGCGAGGCAAGTCTTCTGCAAAAGGGTATTAATGGGAACTTCAGGTTTGGCAATCAGTTACGTTAATTAGATAATTAGAGTGGCAATGTGTTGTTTTTGTTTTTTAACCTGTAGTGACTCCATAGTCATTGATCACAAGGAACTAGAAGCAGATGGGTCTTTTTCTTTTTTTGTCTCAATTGATCTGTGTTGTGTGACTTGGGATTTTTTAATTGTTGTTTTGTGTCTTTTTGTTTCATTGCAGGGAAACACTGGAGTTGTGATGGGCATGTTTCTGGTGTCCTTTGTGGTCCTGGTTGCCCTGGTGACAGTCTTATCTGGAATTGGGGTTTGTGAGAGGTGCAGCATTGGAAGTGGAGGTGTCTACTCCATGATTTCTACTGTCCTCGGAGGTCAAGTTGGGGGGACCATTGGCTTCCTTTATATTTTTGGCCAGGTAAATAAGAAAAAAATAAATAAAAACTTTGCAATGTTTCTAAATATGCCCATAAGAGCAGGTCTGTGCATGGCAATCCACCACCTGGCACGGTCAAAATGGAGGAGCTGGGTGTCTGAGCAGGTGAACTGTGCAGGACATCCCTTCCGATCCCAAATTACTCCAGGTGCCAAGACAACCCCTTGCTGGCTTAATGAAACTGAAGAGGGAGAGGCCAGGGTGGCCACCTAAAGCAGAATGAGCAGTCTGGGCTACCAGGTTGGCCTCAGCACACTCACCGTGTGCTTGGGGGGAGCACTTGGACCAGGCGAGCCTTGGCTGCTTCCCCACGGGAGCCAAAGAGAGCAGAAATAAAGCTGGTATGGGAGGGGAGCTGGGCAGAGGTGAGGACCACAGCTAAGTGACTTCTTGAGATCAGGAGTCACAACTTTCTCTATTCTCTGAAGGGCCCCAAGCAGCCAGCGGTGAAGCGCTGAAATGCAAGTGCAGTAAACATAAGGAATGGAAAGTAATCTCTTAAATCTGTAGTAACTTAACCCCCTCCCCCCCATAAAGATGTTATGAACCGTCTAAAATGTGGAGAGCCAGGAAGAATTTTTATTGAGGTTTGTTTTTAAACGACTGGCTTGCAGCAATCTCTGAAAACCCTTAAAAAACACAACCCAAAAATAATCCCCTCTTCTCCTTTCACTCCAGATTAAAAGCAAGTGTCCATAAAATACAAATTGAATGCAGTTACAAGCCAAGATATGGAAATGGGCCACACATGAGAATCCTTCCTGTAATATTTTCCACTCTCGCTCTCCGAGCGGACCCTGTCTGGGAAAGCAATCAGGTTGCAGCCTGTCCCCAGGGTCGTAAAAGCTGGGCTCTGGCAGCCCCAGCCCATAGCGAGGCATCCAGCATGCATGGGGGGCTGTGGGGTGGGAATTGGCAGCTCGCAGAGAAACTCTTTGCGTGCTCCCGAAAGCTGATGTGTTTCCCTTCTCTCTGGCTGTACTCAGCAGACTTTCTGCCCGATGTGCTTTGCACCAGCTCTGAGCTGCATCCCCACTGCAAGCTGTGTAGGGAGTGCTGTGACCGGTCAGAAATGGGGCAGTAGCTGGCCGTGTGCTGCTGATGCCCTCAGTGATGAGGAATTGCTCAGCATCCTGCTGTAATTCTGCCTGCTGGGGCTGCCTCAGCCAAGCCGAGCTGGGACGCAGCTTGGGGTCCTCCTGCGGTGCTCCAGAGGAGAGGTTTAATTGGATCCAGCACACCTATACCAGGTCCTACAGAAACCAACGTGTGCTTGGTCACAGTGGCTCTGACTAAAGAGGGTTGGGGTTTGGTGCTTTTCTCTGCAGTCTCATTGTCCAGAGTGGCTCACAGTGAGAACTGTTTGTGCAAGGAAATGTTTTCTAGCCCTAAAATCACTTCATACTAAAAGCTAAGATGAGGCAGCACTTGTCTGGGTGTGGAAAACCCACTACGTTCTTCACCCAGCAAAATACGTGGCTTGCAAGTGCAAGCTGATTGCTGCAAGTGTTCAGTGTAGAAGTTCACTTCTGATTTCAAGATGGGTAGTTCAAACCCTGAGAAAGAAGCCTTTCTCGCTGGGGTGATGGCCACTGCTGTGCAAGGTGCAGGGGGGACTTTGCAGCACCCGACCACCTGGTCTGCTGGTGATGCTCATGTTTTATCGAGGGGAACGCTTCAAGAACATTTGTCATGTTGAGGCTATCACAAGTTCTCTCCTGGCCTACTTCCTTCCAAGTGTCCTCCTAACACGGAGAAGTGGCACATTGCAGTTGGTGTCAGGGAAGTAAAGCAATATTGTTTAACTCCTTCAAAAAATGGTGTTGGTCAGAACTGGGAGTGCAACCATCCTGCTTGCTGCCTGTGGTGCTTTTCTTCATGCGAGACGCAGCCACCACACCTTGTTTTAATACATTTATTGGAGTTAGAATCTGGTGGTTTTTTTTTTGGTGTTTGTTTGTTTTTATGGTTTTATCGTTGCTTCAAATCTGAAGTGCAGTGTTTGTGTGCCCCCTTGGAGCTGTGTGGGCTCAGGGTTCAACCTCAGCCAGCTCAGCAGAGAGCCTGTTTTGAGAAGAGAGTGTGTGGGTAGTACATGTGTTGTCCTCTTAGTGGTGGTGTATAGGCTGTGCCAAACACAAGTAAAGAAGAGAAAATCCACTTATTTGGGGATATAGAATGAGCCTAAACAAACAGATTTTTATGTATTGGTGCTCAAGCAAGGCATTCACTTTGCAGGGCCTGAGATGTCTTTGGTGGAGATGTTTATGGTGGGGCTATCAGCAAGAAAAAGACTCTTTCAGGGTGTTGTTCACCTGATCTGTGCTAGGTCTGTTCTGCTAGAACTGTCGCATAAATCTGGTTTCCCCAAGAAGTACAGCTATTGCAGGCATTGAAATCATGAGGCTTAAATGTATTCTGTGGAGACTAGCTCATTTTCACACTTGAAAAACCAGCGTATATAGGCCGATCTAATCACTTTCCTGGACAATTAACTTTCTTGTCTAGACTATCTGGATAATGACATTTATGAGAAGAAAAATAATAATGTTATGTCTTAACCGCTTGCAAGCATTTAAGCTGACATCAGAGTAAATGATAGGAACATAGTTTAGGACGTGTGTGCCCCCTGTTTTTTTTTTTAATGAGATGTCTGCCTGTGGTGGAAATGAATCCTTCTGCAGCTTGGTGGTCCTGGAGGTGTCTGAGCCCAAACAGGTGAATCCCATGTATGTTGTTTGCCTAAAACAGTGCACGAGCATGCACTGATCAGAAACTTTTTCCAGGTGCATGATGAAGCTCATCTCTTCCCTGTCACCTGGCTGCTGTCACCTAAGCAAAAGAGCAGGCTGGTGGGTCAGGAGGCTCAGATCCCCGAAGGCATGATGCTCTCCCAAGAGAGGAATTACCCTGCCCTGCAGGGTGATCTGAGGCCTGAACCTGCAGTGGTTTTCCTGCACTGCAGCTGTCCTGTCCTGCAGCCTGCCAGCCACCCTGGGAAGGGTGCTCATCCTGCTCTGCAGCAAGAAAAACAAACGGCTTTCCCAAGTGCTCAGGGGGCACGGGCTGCACGGTGTGCTCTCCTCAAGTGTGCAGGCTGCCTTCCAGTAGCAAGATGGGGAGCCGGTGAAACATCAGGCTTTGCATCCAAACGAAATACTGAGTTAAAAATAAACCTTAGGAGGCAGTGAAGGGGGAGGCATGCAGCCATTCTTCAGGCAGGTGTTTGACCAAGAGCCTTTCTTTGAGAGAAATAGGAGAAGGGAAGAAGCTTACAGAGCTTGACCCATCCTTTTCTTCCTTGGATATGTCAGGGGGATTTCTCTTGGGAAGTTAATTGAGGGTAAATTTTAAAGCCAGTGGGAAGTTGCTGGTTGCTGCTGTGTTTACCCAAGCAGAACATGTGCTGCCTTCCCCACGCTGCCCTGACAGCAGGCTCTGTTGTAGTAATAAGGTTCAGTCCCTGTGGGTCAGAGTTGCCTTAAATATTGTCGTGTGATAACAAATGCCTGCCTGCTGTGGGCACTGCACCCACGGGATGCTCACAGACTGCTGTCCTTCAGTGTGTTGCAGGTGCCATGTACATCACGGGCTTTGCGGAGTCCATCGCGGATGTGCTGAGCCTCAGCAACATCTGGGCAGTGCGGGGCATTTCCCTGGCCGTCCTGCTGGGGCTGCTCGGCATCAACCTGGCGGGAGTGAAGTGGATCATCCGCCTCCAGCTCCTGCTGCTCTTGCTGCTGGCTGTCTCGACGCTGGACTTTGTCATCGGGTCCTTTTCGCACCTTGATCCAGGTAAAGCCGGGGGTCCTGAGCTTTGGGATCAGTGCACCTTGGTTGTATGTTTGTGTTTTTTTTTTCTATAGGGGTCTTTGTGAAGGTGTACATCCAGACAGAGGTAGAGCTCAGGGCTGCCAGATGTGGCTTTCCTGTGCTTTGGTACCAAGTCTGTAAGAGATGACCCCTAATTTTGCAAGGAATAAGTTTTTCCAGAGCATTACCTGAAGATAAGTCATTAATTTGGCAATTAACCTGAGGAATCCAGCTTTTAATGTGTGCTTTTGTTATACTCGTATTGCCCTTGAAGGTTTTCTAGCAACTGAGAGCTGCTGTGCTTGTGATTGAGGTTTGTAACCTGCTTGCTGTTTGACTTTGCATTAAGTATTGTGCTGGGGAAAACGTAAGATTACAGAATCACAGAATGGCTGAGGTTGGAAGGGACCTCTGGAGGTCATCTCTTCCAACCCCCTGCTCATACAGGGCCACCCAGAGCAGGTTGCCCAGCACCGTGACTATTGCAGCTCCAACTTGGCATGGAGGAGATTTTCTCACAGGAGGTGTGTGGCATCCCTTAAGCCCTGGCATTGCGGTGTGTGGTCAGTGCTGGCCCCAGGCTTCCCAGCTGAGGAAGCATCATCTATGTGCTGCTCAGGACAGGGACAGGTGAGGTGGGGAAGAGAGTTGCTGGGGTTCCGAAGAGTTTCCCCCATTAACCTTCCCCTGCCTGTTTGCAGCCTGCAGTGGGGTCTTCAGCATGGGGCAGCTGGGCATTGGCAAGGCAGAGGGATGGGGCTCCCCAAATCCTCTTTCCCTTCCTTGCATCCTCATCCTGAGAGAGGTGTTATGGGGAAACCTGCTGCAGGCTGCGGGGAGTTGAGGAGCACTGCAGCCAGCACTCCAGCAATCACCGAGTGCAATTAGCTGAGTAAACAGAAGGTGTCACCTTTTTCTTGGGTTCCCCTGCATCCGAAAGGATCTTAGGCAGGGGTTCAGGAAACCTGCTGAAATAGCTTGAGGGGGAAGATCTCCAGTTGTGACAAGCTTCTTACAGCTAGAATTCAGCTGGAGGGGCTTAGATTCCAGCTGTGCACTGAGGAGACCTTTCATGTAGCCCCAGAGACCTTTCTGATAAGGGGCAGAAGGGGAATGCTCAGGGTGGGGGATGACGATAGGGAAGCAAAGGTGGGACCAGGAGGAGAGAGAGGAGTACATGCGTCAGCAGGAGGCACGGCCGAGCTGAGGTCAGCGTTAGCTGTCTTTGATTTCATCCACTGGTGATGGCTGAGCCATTTTCTTCTGACAGAAAATAGAGAAAGGAGCAGGAATGAGGTGGCTGAGCCGTGGCGGGTGGCAGAGGAGGGTGTGGGACCCGAGGAAGGGCCAGATTCTGCCCAGCTGCTCTGTGCCTACATGGCCGGGTCTGTGGCCTGGCTGGGAAGAGCTGCGCTGTCTTGTCTTATTTTTAGACAGCTTCTGTTTGAGGGAATGATCCCGAGCTCAGGCTGGATGCCCGGCACGGCGCTGCATTTCCCCAGCAGGCCTCTGAGTGGTGTGTCAGCACCGATGGTGAGCCCCAGCCTCCACCAGCCTCATCCTCCCCGGCTGGCCAGGTCAGGGTCAGCCTCCTGCCTCTGTGTTGCACCCCTTGGCAAAACGCCTCTCCTGCCAGCACCCCACAAACGGCTGGGATGTGCTGGGGTCGGTACCCATCACATCATCACACCGTCCCTTGGCCACAGGCAGTGGGGTGCAGTGTGTCTGAGTGCCGCCCTGGGGGAGGCACTGGGAACCATACGGCTCTGGGGACAGACATTAGTTATCTTTGGCCTTCGGTGACAGCAAGAAGTCCTTTTGTTTGTGGGCAGCATTTAGCTGCAGCCTTTCCCTCCCTGAGCACCTGTGATCAGCTGTCTGCAGTCTTCACACATGTACGGTTGTTTCAGGTCTGGTTAATTGGCTACAGCAGCATCCATAAATGCAAGGAAAAACATGAGACACACACCGAAGGGGTAATTTTGGAGGAAGGACCTGTGAGCTGCAAAGGTTTGGGTTGCTTCCTTGTTTATGGCAGGTTTCCACAGTTCTGCTCGCAGCTTTGGGTCTCAGTTTCCCCAGCTGTGCACTGGGCACACAGCAGCCCTCCCACCGCTGCGCTGGGAGCATTTCCCCTTGCTCCAAGTGCTCGGTGAACGCTGAAGACCCGTGCCTCTGCCAAGCAGTGATTGTTTGGATTGCAGTGATCTGCAGGAATGCCTGTCCATGCTGAAGGCCTGCAGCCCATGCCTGTGTGTGGTTGCACTGGATGGGGGCCCCTCGCTCGTATCCCCCGTTCCCCAATCTCACACCCAGGCGCACACAACGTGGGATGTGGGCCAAGCACTCACTCCCTTCCTGTGGTTTGCCTTTATTTTTAGTCGGAGGACAGGCAGTATTTACACAAAAGGGGCTTCTCAGCAGGGCTTCCCGCTGCTATTTCTCCTTTCTCTCTCTCTCTCGCTGTGGCTTGTCCTGCAGCCAGCCCGGGCAGTGCCGGTCCCTTCTCCAGATGCTCCTGTCCCATGCGGAGACTGCAGGGCTCGGCCTCCGAGGGGAGCCAGGAACCTCGAAAAGCTGCAGTGGCACATGGAGGAGAAGCTGTAAAGAGCGAGGGCAGGAAAAACGAGTGTTTGTGTATTTTAAACACAAGGGGGAAAACTAACAAAAGGGAAGAAGAAAGGTGAGGATCGCTGTTGTTCTTAAGCAAACCTACCTGAGCACTGTGACCACCAGCTGCAGTGTCCCTGCTCCTGGCCCCAAGGACTTTGGCTCCTCTCTGCATGCTGGTGTGGTCCCAAGCCCAGGATCCTCCTTTAGGTGCTGAACCCCAGGCAGGGACTTTGGCCTGAAGCACCATGGAGCGTGATGCTGGGTGCCTGGTGGGCACAGGAGGTGTCCTCCTGACCCATCTCCAGGGCAGGAGGTGGATGCTGGGGGGTTGGATATGACCCAAGGGTGTGCTGGGGCGCTGCAGGTCAGGCTGCAGGCAGAGTGGGGTTGGACTGTCTGGTTCTGGAGTTGATCCTAAATCCCAACCTTGGACCCAGCCAGTGCTTCCCCCAGTGATGGGTCATAGTCCCACACTAGGATCCCTGCAAAGGTCAGTGTTGAGGAGAGGGGCTCTTGTGCTAGCTAAAATCCAGGCTCTGAGCTGTCTCCAGCCTCTCACCTTAAAACTCAGTCTTACCTCCAGAAATGGAGTCCCCGTGTTACCTTCCTGCCTTGCTTTCTTGCCAAACCTAATGCAGGTGAATTAAGATCAGTGTTCAGCTTGTTGGCCCACAGCTGGGACCTTGTGCTTGCTACACTGCCGAATAACAGGTTCCAGGCAGAGCAGCAGTGCTGGGGTTTCTTGGCCTGTTTGTTTTAATTCTGTAGGTGCAGACCTCAGAATCAGCCCGAGTCATTTCGGGGGAAGCAGTGAACATAAAAGAGAGGACACTGTCCGTGAGCAGCTCCTCAGAACAGCATGTGAAGCTTTTTGGCCTCTTCACGTACTGAACATTAGAGTCATGGAAAAAGAAGATAAGACTGCTGTTAATGCCCACACTTTTATTTTCCTAGCATATCTCTGCTAATTTTTGTGTAGGGTGACTCCCAAATACTCCCTTCAATTAGGCGCCTGCTTTCCTGTTTTGGCAGTTGCTCGCAGGTACCCCGCTAAAGCAAATCGGCCGTGGGATTAAATTGGGTGGGGTGGGGTTATTTTGGGGGAGATCTGGTGTTAATTTGGTCCTGCTTTGTTTTGTTGGTGAGATGAAAGGAGTCGCAATACAAGGAAAAGTGCCCCAGCTACAGCCTCTTAAATGCCTGGAATGTTCCTGGGGAAAAAAAAAAATAAGGATTTTGTTGTGGCAGGGAGTTAAATAATGGGAAGGCGAGGGTCTGGCTGAGGGACTGAGGCCTGGGCACTGCTTGGGCTGGGACCCCCATTCTGCAGCTCACTTAGGGTGAGCACAGAGCTGTCCAAGTGGGGCTGAGCCCCTCTCCTTGCAGGAACCCGGGCAGTTCATCTCCCAGGGATGTGGGGAGGCTTTGAAGCCTGCCGAGGCCCCCAGCACAGCCCCTGCCTGCATCCAGCCCGCTGCAGCCCCTAGGCTGTTGCTGCTGGAGCGCTTCTGGTTGGGATCATTCCCCCGCACAAACCACATCCTCCGTGTCACCCGCTTCTGTTTTAGCTTTCTGACGCTGTTCTCACAGAGCCTAGGAAAGAAACGTTTATCCTCACGTCTTCCTCCGACGGCGAGGCCTGTGAAGGATTTCTTCCCTTGGCTGTCCTGTGGCTGCCTGGGAGAGCCGGTGCTTTCCTGGGGGTACTGCTGGTGAGGAGCCGTGGGGAGGAGACGGGGAATGTCTGCATGGGGCTGCTCCAGCAGAAAGGGGACCTGCAGTTGTTCAGATGATGTGTACGTATAAACGCTCCGGAGCTGTAAAGATCCTTAAAATGATGCCTCAGGGGCTTTGGTGGATTGAATTAATGAAATGCATTCACATCTTCTATTTAACGTGAAACTGATCAAAGCGTCCTAATCAGAGGCCTCTGCTTGGCCTGGGCTGTTCTATTGTATTTTTGGGCACGAGGGGTGTGCCCCAGTTCTCTAAGAGAGGGTGCAGGAAGGATGTGTGTGTCAGAAGATGATCTGCAGTTAATCCCAGAGGCTTTATCCAGGCTGATTGCTGACTTCCTGGCTTGAAACACATCTGGAAACTGGCATCGAATTCCAAGTAGAAATCACTGAGCGAGCGGCAGCAGAAAATCCCACTTTGCTACTGAACAAGGTAGACCCGGTGGTGAATAAAAGCAGGAGGCTGCTAATGCGATCTTTATTTATTAAAAAACACGCAATCGCTTTCCCCAGGTTTTTCCAATTATAGCACATTGAATTGGCGTGACATCACCTTTGAGCCGGGGCCAGCCTATTCAACAGTCTGGCGAAGAAATTTATTAACTGGTTACCTGCCAATTGTCTGGGCTAGGA